CGGCAAAAGGCCCAGGGGACGGCCAAGATTAACCTGGTGCAAACATATGGAAGGAATTTGTTCCAGACTGTATTTGTCTTTTGCCGAAGCTCAGACTCTGGCACAGAATCAGAAACGTTGGAAGCACCGTCTGACGCGTTTGTCTCCGCGACCCGAAGGGAGAAGCGGCGATGGAAGATGAAGATAGGAGAGCTCTTGTCATGTTCCAATTGTTTCAATTGGACTAATTCGGACTTACGTAGACCGGAATCAGTTATGCTAAATCTATGTGCTTTAGCTGCAGCAACTTTAAAAATTGTTCAATGGCGAATGGCTACTTTTCAGGTGTGCCCGTTCATAAAATATACGAATGTGAAGAGATAGCTTCTTGTCAGTGGCCAAGGTGAAATTTGGACGCGTGGCAAGAACCAAAACTTGATCTTCTGCAAGACTGAAGCTGCTCAAGCTCTGTCTCTGGTTACGGGGTAACACGATTTCCTTTCAAAATTATAAAATTTTGAATACTTTTTCATGATCAAATTTCTTGCATAGTTTCGCATCTTACAATTCTGCGTAGTTGGATAATTATTTGACAGTGGAAGACAAAAATGTAAATGCCAGTACCTTGGAAACAATTAGACAACTCCAATACTAATTTTTCAACATTGGATAATGAATCAAAACCTTTAAACCGGTGATATGAGATCCGTCTTAAAACTAATTTCTTCTATAAATTTTCAGTAGTCGGTATTCTTTTAGGGATACTCCTCGATCGATTGTTACGGTGCTAAACTATTGTCCCAGAAACGGCGAAGGAACGCAGTTCGACAACATTCATGGGAAATAATAATGAATATTTGTCAGAATGACTGCACTGGCACGTAGATCATGATAGAAATTTGTAGTATAACGTGGGCTCAATAAATTAAAGGCACAGCATGACTTCGCACATCAGTGATGCAACGGCTGTTGAGAAGGAAAAGCGTAGTTAACTACGAGTGAAGCAATAGCAATAGTATGCAAGTGATGTATGTGTAGGAATTTTTTCTTAAGTAAGGAATGCAAATTATGCATTGGCACACTAAAAACGCATGAGCAAACCCACACTTTCGTTTAAGAACAGTCTTATAAATAAGGAGAACCCTATTTTGGGTAGCTTTGCGCAGAGGCGATACCGTAACTGATGAGGATTATCCGAGGTGCGGTTATTGCTGGTTGAAAACTAAACCCAATTCCCCGCCGTGTTAACTTGTAAAAGAGTTGGCATTGGCAATTTTTGGAAGCCTTTCGAGGCTGAAATATTTCGTAATATCTAGTGCCAAGTGAAAGGCTGGTAAAATGAAAAAGGTGGGTATTTCATGATTAGTGTAATTATGCAGTAAATTAATTTTCGTTAAGAAAATGCGTCAAGTGAATTCTCTATTGCTAATATATTAAATAAATGTTTCATATTAGCCATTTCACTATCGTTCACATAAGAAGCATTGATCGGCATCGTGATTGTGTGTCAGCACAGGAATTCTGGGAAAATGAAAGCTTTTACTCAACTGCTGCCTATGATCATGGATCATGAACTATTATTCAAGTACGCAACGAGCCAATACACCGCTTCATAACGATTTGAAGACTTTTTCTTAACTACTAATCTCCCTGCACAAATTATCTACGTCTATAGCGTTTCGGTGGAACCTATCGAAACATGAAACAAGTGGCTGACTTGCAGTCAGCGAGATGTTCTGGTGAGCTCATGTCAGAATGCGTGAGTGGTATGGCCATGTTGTTTGATGTTAGCACCTTTTAGGCTGCAATTCATTTGAAAATAAGGCTGTTTCCCGTGGTCTGACATGTAGGAAAAGCACAGTGAATTTCGCCTTATCAGTGAGGTCAGGTTTCCAGCTGTGTTCAAGGGTAAGCAGGGAGCGGCCATTTCTGAAGAATGTGTCGGAGAGAATCTTGGTCTGTCGCATGAATATAAAACAGACAACGCTGAATGTCATTCGCCTATGCCCGTAAAAATGTGTTCACATCGACAGAGTCGCTTTCCGTGACTGCTTGTAGTAATCTATTAGTGCTGTGTCGCGGCATCACGCTAAAATTGTCACAAGTAACTTCAACGAAAAGATCGCAACCGAGTATGGAATACACAGTTAGAGGTACTCGTCCGCCACGGTGTTGACAGCAAATGGCAACGGTGAGCGGGCGTGTAAGAAACTTCTTCGAAACAAACAACTTAATGATCATGATCGATAACAACTGGTTAAACAAAAACTATTTACGACGCCGAAGAAAATGGGAGCCATCGACAGGGAGGGGCAGCATGCAACACAGAGGATCAAAATGGAGGTAAATTTGTTTCCACAGAAGAACTGGTCCTTCTATGACGCAACAACAGCTGCCTTATAACGAGTGTTGAAAAGACGCTCATAATTTCTGGCCATTTAACAGGCGCAACACGATATCACGAAATTAGAGCTATTACAGTCCTTCAAGATTAGGATAATCACAGACGACCATGATGCAACAAATCTTATAGTTCTCGCACAATATTTATTATAAATCCATTCCAATTTACATTAGCACAATGCAGCCAGTAGAAACAAATTCAAAAAGCATGCATGCACTAAAGGTAACAACCGTAAATCCGATCTTGATCAAGCGATTTAACCTTTAGCAGGAGTAGCTGCACTGCATAATCTGAGAAATCAATAAACAATACTTAAACATAATTCATTCTTTCAATCTGTCTCCATTTCAACGTTTGGATCACCGGACACACAAGGAAGATCCTGTCGCATATAAATAAGGATGTACGCAGCCTTCGACTAAAATGTATCAAGTATTGAAATCAAGATAAATTATTTACACATCGGAAAGAAAAGCTTAAGAAACAAAATTAGTATTCCTAAATAAAAATACGCTTTGTTTAGCACGGGTTCTATCAAGGAGTGAAGCATCTAAGCCACGATAAAAATTACTTGGCGAACGACTAGTTCGGTCTTCGACACTGCGTTAAAAATGCTTGATTTCTGTTAGACTCATTCTGTGATGCCGAGCAGAGAAAACGATATTCACAAGCGAAAGAAAAACACTGTGGCTGCCAGAAGGTAAAGTGCGTTTACCACAGCGGCTTAAGAAAGACCATGAGGCAGAACTATCAGAATCTCCACAGTCTATCATATCAGAACTACTTATCTTGTAGCTTTCAATCCAAAATTGCGAAAAAATAATGATTTAACCGTTTAGTAAAAAACTGCAAAAGGAAAGAGGATAATGAAAAGCATATTACTTCTGAAAAAATATTCTTCTTTTGAAATTCCCTGAGAAACAAAGATTAAAGTTTTATTCCTTTCCAGAGCTGATGGTGCGATCCTGGCTACCGTTTTGATGACAACAGTCCCTCATCTTTCTGAAAAAAAGATCTGCAGCAAGGTGGTTTTTCCATTTCGGAATATGGTTAAAAACAAGCGGCGAGATCAGAAAGCAGAAACGCCATCTTTCGAATACAAAACCAGCAACCAACCGACTGACAGCAGGCTTTGCTTCACCCACTTTGCTGTTGGCATCAGATTTCTAAAATTTACATAAAGCCAAAAAATTACTAACATTGGGGGTGATTCAAAGGCTCAATTGACAAATATTATGCTTTTATGACCCTTCAGTGCCAAGAAAAGATTTTCAATGGGGACAGTATCAATCAGCTCTGAAACTACCTGCTTCCGTAACTACGCTGCTGCGCTAGTCAACCTACTAAAATAAATAATAGTTCTGGTAAAATAGTAGAAACTACAACGTACTACAATTTTGGACGAATCTCCGATGGGTGAAACGCAAGCATCATCAAAACTATACCATTTGTTAGTCTGGCAGTTTCGGGCGCAAGCCGTGTCTAAAAAACAATGCACTATAAAAATAAATGAATAAACGCGTCACTTACAGTGACCGCTGCCCAGTCCGCCGTAATGATTTGAAACACCGATCAGATCGTATAATACATGGTCTTCCTTTTTGTTTATCAGCCACCTTGACATATTCAAATTTCTGAAAATATAATTTAACTAGTTTTATTCTAGAACAAAAGTACTGGGTTCAATCGGTGCATTAAAAAGCCATTAGCTCTTGACTCAAAGGGGTTGGGAAACATCCGATTTTGCCCGAAGCCACTGTTTAATAATCAGAAATTATCAGGATTGACAAAAAAGTTTTAAACCGCGATCGTTCCAGATCAAAGTACTCTTCTGTGAAAGTTCTATTTGCTAACATATTACAAATTTTTAAATATCATTTTACTATATCCATCATAAAATAATGAGGAGAGTACAGTTACAGCACAGAATCAATTTCTTTATCAAAATGAGAAAAAATTCTACGTCCGTCATTAACTTGCATGCAGTCAGCACCAAGTGAATGACCTTAAAATAGTGTAATGTATTACGAAAGCACTCGTTATAACACTCGCTAGTTAGAATATCAAAGGATCGGCATAAAAAAAGTAATCAGCGTGTTTTCAAAACATAGGTAAAATATACATGCAAAATTTATTAAATCGAAATAAATTTATCCAGGAAACGAAACTGGACACGTTTCATCTCTAGGATCTCAAAAGTTCATCACAACGAAGAGTAAATACTCGGCTGAATTATGGAGCAGTGATTCTGGGATGGCATGGCGAATCAGAGAATATTTCTAAACTTTATCTGTTTTAAACTGTCAAATGATAATTGGCTGTTCGATGCAAAATTAAAACAATCTAAAGACAGCGTTCTTATGCCAGAATGATTAAGTAATATCCTGTCAGGTTTATGTTAACTTTTGCCATCAACAAAACGCATTCTTGCACAGTACGTCATAAGGCCATATGATATGCATACACTACAAGTTTATGACGGGTCAGAACATTACATGTAGCTGCTATTGCAACCATGGTCAAGAAAGGTAGGATGGATTGATGGAAGAGTTCAGTTCGAGCTAGGAAAGTGTCGAACAGGCTGCAGGTGACATGATGCAGGAACAAAACGCGCTGAAACTTCGAGTGCAAAGGGTGACTATCATCAGCCAGCACGCTCTGACCCAGGCGACAGGCAGCTACAGTTATTGTTTTCGGAATGCGGTCAGTAATTTCTTCAGCAGAGAAATCTGCTAGTTCTAACAATTAGCATTACGGCTCAGCGCAGTAATCTGAAGTTTCTTTGCGTTAGACCTGAGAATATCATTTGGCTGGAATAGATGATTAGCGGGATGATGCGCTCAAAACGAAGCGGATACAGGCAATTTAATTGTCCTTAATTGATAGTGAGATGCTCCACAAACTTGGTGAGCACTAATGACATGTGGTCAAACTGGTCCAGTTACTGTTAAGTATGATTCCCAGGTATTTAGTGGTGTCACCAATCAAGATTAAAATTGAGATGAACTCTCCATCTAAGATGTCAGTAAACACAATATTTTGAAAAATCTGGTAAAATATCGACTGATTTATCGATTATGATATAAAAAAACTGATTTCAGACAAATCTGGTTTTGGTAAGTCAAGGTTTTAAATTATATTTATGTACAATAAATTGAGCGGGTCCGTGTACCTGATGGGGAAACTGACAAGAACGTCGATTTTATTGTGGAAATAGCGCGAGCAGGAGAAACGTTTCAGATGAACCACCAAAATCTTCGGCAGATTCCAAAGGTCGAACTTTTTCGTAGCCTGCTGATGCTTCTTGCAGCGCGGACAGTACCTGCAAAACACGAAGGGTTGGAGTAAATAATTAAATGAATAAAGCAAAATGACCGCCTTTCGACCTCCAAAATTCTTCCTGCTGAGATAATTAGACATCTGACGTACTATTTAACTGAGAACTCACCAGGCGTCGTACTCGCCAAGCTTTTCTGTCGTTGTGAACAGGTCCAGGCACTCCGATAAGTCCAAATTACGGTAATGTTTGACCCGTTTGCTGTAGTCAGCACAGTTTAAGCTCTGCAGAAAGCAACGTTACGATGCACTCGACAAAATCATATTACCGGCATACTCTGTAGACGTTGTCTTTAAGCTTCCGCTCCGCTGCCTGACTCCATGTGACCGCCAGATACAAAGGATCACCTCCGTAGTCGGGCAATTCTTCACTCAGACGGAACGGCGACGAAAGTTCAGCGGTTCCAATGGGGTTCGTAATGACCAGCGTGAACAAGTCGTCGTCGCCGTTAACATTGCTACCTTCGCTGTTGTCTGACGAATCAGAGAGGTGCTCAGAATTCGCACAGTTTTCTGGTTCTAAAACAAAAAGTAAAACAAAGCAAATAGGGAAAAGTTAAACTCTGCGAACTTACTCGGTTGAACAGATTCTAGAAGCTTCTCTAACAGACTTCTATCGACGAATCTTCTAAAGTAGCATAAAATAGTGATGGGATACAGAAGTTACTTGATTTTCAAGTAACATGAAAATTTGCAGATGCACCAAAAACAAAAGTTGTGAACACATGTCTGTGGAGAACGCTTACGTTAAAGACCGGATCACACACGCTTTCCACTGCGATGTGCTCAAGTAAGACTTTCGTATCCGAATGATCTGAGGGAAGCCAAAAGCAGCCCAGTCGTAAACCGAAGAAAACCCGGAAGAAGATCTGACAACAAATCGATCATGAAAAATAAGCCAGAAAAATACTGAATTCAGCAAGATGTACTTTGGACGTCTTTGATAAACGCAGAGGGTGATGCACAGCTCGGTCTCTGGCATCGCTTCTACCTCAAAGGCGTATATTTTTTCCACCATTCGACCGGACGATAACGCTTTGCCGATCAGGTCGTTCGGGCAGTAAATTCGGGTGGCTTGAAAACCTTCGATGCTGGCAAACATAAGCTGAAAACAATACTTCATGTGAATTTCAAACAGATTATAGCTGCCACAAATTTCAAACATTTTCAAATCTCTGCATCAAGTACATTCATTAACCTAACCAATGGAATCTCTGCCTCAAGAAGTCAAATCATATGCCGAGACAAATGAGTTAGCAGAATGCTTTTGCGTTTTCACTAATATAATGCCAATTCTTTGCATGCTTTTCTATAAACACAAGCAGTGACCGGATTTGACTGGAAAATAGTTATGGGATTTCTAAGAACATTTGCATTAGCAGAACGCACGCATATAAATTCGTAAATATTATTGGTGTGGAAGCAAGTTTCTTAAATACATAAAACAGCCACCGTCTGCCTGACTATATATCCAATGAAATGACTTAATACCAAAGGGCGCATTATTAGCATTACTTCTACATACCACGGAGCAGGAGATAGCATATTCATATGCCAATGAAAGAAAATGATTTATGTGAAAAAATTATCTGTCACAGGCTATGAAAGTAACATGTGCACAATCGAACAATCAAAACGCGAATCCGCTGAAGTATTCGCGATGTGATGTTATAGTTTACACATGAAATCTTTTGCAAAGAGCTAAGAAACAATGAATGGGTACCAGCGTTCGATTCTGAAGATATACATCAGCAAAACCTACTGTATTTCAATCACGTTACAATATGGAACAGCTACTTTCAAAACCAAATAAAACTACAATGCTTGATTTTAAAACCGTGATTTAGAAATGGACAACGACGACACTGAACACGCGACCTCGTACAATGGATAGAACCAACCGTCAGTCAAGGCTGTAAAAAATAAGACCGCATAATATATCATTCCCTGTACTCTCTGAACAGGGGATGACAACCGATGATAACAATTTGTATAGAAATTATCAACAGTGAAAGCGTAGCAACGCGTCTGTTTAACGTGTGAAGTAAAGACAACATACGTTTTCAG